GTTGTCCGTCTGTCCGGGGTGAAGCGAGGTGGGACTGGCTGGTAGCCGCACGGTGTGCGTGTCCCTGCGGCGTGATGCTGCGCAGGGGTGCAGGCAGCTTCGCTTCCTGAACATGCTGCCTCGAAGCGCAAAAGCAATTGTGCTCTGGTCGCAACGGGCTGCATCTGAGCTGGGCTGCTTGTGCGAGTGGAAACGCTTCCACCTGGTGCCTTAGTGGCATCAGAAATCAAACATGGAAAAACCTTTTGGTGCCCTTTTTATTTTTTTTTTTAAATGGCAGCTGTGGATTTTACACCATGTTCTATGACTGGCTATGATTTTTGAACAAAATAAGTAAGCAGCTGGTGGATAGATATTAGCCAGGCAGCAATCGGCCTCTGCCTTGAAAAGGCTGATTCAGGTACAGCGTTTGATAAAGCTCATATGGAAAAAGGGTGTGTATGGTAATACCAGGGGAGGAAAACAAACAGGACGGAGCGTACTCCATCATGCTGACAAAGACCTGGATTGTACGTGCTGGGGTGCAAATAGGATTGTTTGCATATTCAGTCAACTCTGTCTTCCTTTTTCCCCATCCCTGAGCATTGATGGTGCCTGAGCTCCTTGGAGAGCTGTTGGAGCCGGGGGGGGGGAGGGGGTGAAGGAGCATGTGGAGGAGGGATGAGAGCAGAGAGGGTGCTACTTTCGGGGGCTACAGTGGAAAGAGGGTAGCTGGTGGGATGAAGCTCTGGGGGTAGAGTTTAGCGGACTGAATGCAGGAAGCTACGGATGAGCTTGTCTGACAGCTTTCCTTTTATATCCCGAACACACAGCTCATCCCATCCTGAACTAGACATTGAACAACACACCTAAATCGTGCTACAGAGTAAAGTAAATGTCCTAGGTTTGATTTTTTTTCTTTTTTTTTTTTTCTCAGCTTTCAAGGAATGAAGCTGAACTGAGGGGGAAAGGAGCATTTATTCCCAGTGGGTAAAGAGAGGAAGGCTGAAATTAAGGATTTTCTCCAGCGATAGCTCTCCCCAGGTGGCAAACCCCACATCTGTTTCCAGTAAACCTACCAGGACTACAAAGCAAACAAATCAAGAAATGTCAAGGTATATTTACTCTCCTGTTAACCTGCTGCCTCGCTCCCTCTCTGGCACATGTTGGCAAGCATATGAGGGTGCGCGCCCCGATGCTGCATCCTGGTAAGGGGACACGGCTGCAAGCCCAGCTGGGGAGAGGTGACCAAACGAGGACCTGGCTCCTGACTCCCGCTCTGCGGATGTCATAGTGTGGAAAAGGGGGTGCTGTAAGTGAGTCTGCATTGGGAACGGCAGTGCTCGAGGGCTGTGCCAGCCCTTGGCGCTCTCTGCTCCCAGTGAGGCAGAAAATTGGTTGTAAAGGGGAAGTTGCACACACCTGTTTGCAGCTGAAGGTGGAGGAGCTTATGTTAGAGGTCACCTGGACTCGACTGCTGTCAAATATTGGCTGCAAGCGAGACGGGTTTCCTGAACACCTTGTTTTACTTGGTGATGCATCCAAAACCTCTGGGAAGAGCTTTTTCCAATAAGCTTGTCCCAAGCTTTTTGCAGGTCTCTTTTTTTTGCTTTTTTTTCCCTTTTCTTCTTCCTTCTTATAAAGAGAATTAGGCAATCACAGCATTTTGTTCAAGTTGCCTCTTAGTCTCTTGCTTCATAGCACGTGGCCTTCCTGAAGAATTAAGGAAACACTGATAGACTGGGAGTAGAAGACTTCCCTGATGTACCTTCCCTCGTCTAACGTTCCTCCCTGCGCTGCCCCTAGTTGCCCTGTTAAATTGTCTCTACTTATAACACTCTGTACGTAAAACACAACCGGGTGCTTTTTGCTCTGATTAAAATCACGCTGTGTGAAAGAAAATACGAATTAGCTCTGGCCTTTGGGCTCTTGACAAGTTTCCAGTGCCGCTTTCAGCACCACAGAGATTGTGTAACTCGGGCGTCCTCTGTGTGGTGACGTCTCCCCCTCCGTCACGAGCGGGGCCGGCTGCCGCACATCCAGGTCCAGCTGTTAATACTCCAAGCAGCTTTTAGCACTGAAGGAGGAAGAGAGATTGCCAGCAGCCGGGTGGAATGTGGGGAACTTGATTTTTTTCTTGCTAGGGGACAATGAGAAGGGATAAAAGGAGGAGGATTTCCTGGGTAATTCTCCAAATCTTGGTGTTTGTGAAAATACCTCCCGGTCTAATGTGTACCAAGCAACTGGGGAGCCCAGCGCAGGCAGAGCTAATGCTTCAGTACAGATTAACCCTTGAAGGAAGAGCACAGTAGCATCTTATACAAACTATGGCTTAAGTTTGCCAGATCTTTTATGCAATGAAGCACAGGGCGCTTTCCTGCCTCCTCCAGGGATTCAAGCGGGGTACGTGATGATACACCATTTCGGCATTGCTAACAGAAGGGCTGAGGCTGCAGCTATCACGTCGCATTTTCGGCAGAAACCTTTAAGTCTCAGTGACTTCCTCCAAGGACACCGAACCAAACACTGTACAGACCCACGACTGAATGAGGCGCAAATGACATTGCTGGTTCGAAACGGCGCGTGGGCAGGACGTGGGCGAATGTTCCTTGCGCTGGGTGTTTTCTAAAGGTCTCTGAAGCATGAGGCATGACTGAATGACTTGTGTTTTCTTTAAATGACGAGTGGGTGAATCGTGAATCGTTAGGCTGCTTTTATTTTTGTTAGATGTGTGTGGGCTGACAACATGACTCAGTATTTTCTCCGCAGACGCAAAGATCATATTGCCAATTCTGGGTATACTTCGGGCAGTTTCATGCAGGGAACTGGAACGCTTTTTTAGTCCAGAGCTTTGCTTTTTGGCAGCCTTAAGCTTCTTGATGTGAAAATAAATAAATAATTTAAAAAATGAGTGCTTTTCCAAAATGTACAAAAATACACTGAAGAAATGACCGAACGTGGGAAAACTACCTCTACCTCCATGTTTTCCCCAAAATTTATCTGACTATTTTCATGTTATTATGGAAATGTCCACTAATGTCTGATTACTCTTTTCTCTGATTCTCCCTAGTCTCGATTGCTTGTGGGCCATCTCTTTGTCTCCTGACTATCATCTCCAGTATTTGTTTAACCAGCCGTGCCCTGCTGGGGGAGAGCCACCGTCCTCTGACTGATGGGTGTGAGTTCTCCCCTGGCTCCCGAGAGACGAACAGGCATATTTGTGTGTACATGTAAGTGGTTTGGCCAGTACCCAGAAGTGACAAAAGTCCCTTTCTCCCTTCTGGCAACCTCCCTGCCCTGCTCCTCCTTCTTTGTCCACCCTGTATGCCACCTACAGCATCTGGTATGTGCTTTGAGAGATGCATGAGGCCAGGCATAGGCTGTGGACGCTTTTATTGTGCAACAATTAATGCTCTTTTCTCCCATCCCCTCTTCTTTGCTGTTGAGCAGAGTGCTGGTAGCCATATCTACGATAAGGATAGGTTGCTCGCTAAGACCCTGACCTGTAATCATAACCCAGTGTCCTAGAGCCACCAATAAACCATTTATCCCTGCTGAGACCAGGCCTCAGCTCACCATGAACCTTGCTGAAGATCTGGGAATGGCTAGACAATAGTAGACTTGTTGGTGAAGGATGGTTGTACAGCAAAGGTGGTCTTTTGGGAGATCAGAAGATGATGTGCCTATAGATGTATTCTACAAAGTGAGATGAATTCCATACACCCTGCTTTTTGATCTGTAACAGTAATTTTAACCACAGAAAAACTCCCCCACTCCACCCACAGTGATGGCCTTGGCTAATGTGATATGTACTTAGCACCATGACCCAAACCCCACTACTGGCCCATATGACTGAGCCACATCTGACCCATAGCTAATTATAAGCCATATGCATGAATATATATCATAGTGCTTGGGGACTGCATCATCTTCCTGTCATTCTAATTCCTCAGTCCTAAGCTCTACTCCCTGTTTCTGACATTTTCTCTAGCTTTCACTGCCCACCCATGGCAATAATTCACCCTAAACTTTAGGTTGAGCACATCCATCGTCCCTCCAGACCTCATGGGAAGCCGCTTGATTGGTTAGCTCAAGTGCCGTTGCAGCCCTGTCCCAGAATGACAAGAACTGGGTACCAGATCTTACCACATCTCTGCAATCTTCACATTATTCAGGAATATTCCTAGACTTTCAGCCCTTTTTACCCCAAAGCCTGATTCCAGCTTTAACCAATCAGCCAACACTCCTCCAAACATAACACAAAGCCTTCTGCCTCGCTGAGTACCAGCAATCGGGCTTGTCCAGAGGGGCAAAGAAAAGAGGTGGTGCTCCTCAGTCCTTGGTGTCCCGATCTCTCAAACTGACTTTAGCGTTCACAAACCTGATGCTCTTTACATCCTGGCTGGTACCTCTGACTGCCGGAGCTGTTCGCCGCAGCCCTCATGACCATGTTTTGAAGGTCTTCGCTGGAGTCCGGGCACAGGGCTGGGGGTGGCCAGTGGGGCTCACTGGGTGTGGAGGCTGGACGTTGTGTTTGTCAGGGCTTGTGCTTGATGGGGCAGAGCATGTTTTGGTGGAGTTTAGGGTGGAAAGACTTTTTGGGGGGGGCATGGCTTGAAGGATCAACTGGCTTGCTCCAGCTGCTGAGGGGATGGTAGTCTGGGCACAAGCTACAGCGTGGGGCAAGGGGGAGCGTGACAGTGTCTGTAGATCAGTGAGCAAGCAGGGAGGCATGTGGTCACAGAGAAGCAGCAGTGGGTCAGGGATGATTAGGAAAGCCTGAGAATGGCTGATGTGTTCCACTGACCCCCCTCTTTTCTTAAAACAAGCCTCATTGCTCCTGTCTGCTTGCTTCTTGCTGTCCTTCCACTGGTTCTTTGTCACTGTCCCCACCCCTTGTCCTCCTGCCTCTGGATTTCCAGAGCTACTTGTTCCTCTAGAGATGGTCCTTCAGCCCTCCCCAGCCCCATGGTGCTGCTGCCTCGCCTGCTTTTGGCAGTCAGATCTCATCCGAGGACCAAGCATATGAACCCTAGGTTGCTTATTACAAGGCGCTCTGCACCCCACATTGCACGGTGGCATGTCTTGCTGGGTGGGAGCCGAGGACGGAGAGTGCAATGGCCCCAGGTCTCTTCAGGTGTCAATGTGTTGCTGTGAATAGTGAGCTTGCTTCTGAAGTTTTTGGGGGGTTGGGCTTTAAACTTGCTTAATTTATTTATTTACATCCAAGGTTGGTATTGCATTTTTTGTCTCTAAACCGCATTTAATAAGACTGTCACATAAAAGCTCTCCAAGTTTCTGGGAATAATACTCATTAAAAGTGGTTTTGTAATTCTCTTACAGTGTGTGGTCTTCGGCTTTTCTGAACTTTTGCTGCGCTGCATTCAAGTATAGTTTACTGCAGTTGGAAAGAAAGCTTGGAAAGAGAAAAGTTGACAAAGAGCAGACTAGACTGAGAGGGTGACGGAGCTGTTTTATGCTGCTTTTTTTTTGCAACAGACCAAGTAGGTATTCCCCACCTGCTTAAGGAGTGCCCACAGCAGACTGACTCACTAACACACCTTGTTCCGAGAGAAATACCAACAGCAAAAGGATGTTGTTTGTGGCAGCAGAGAAAGTGCTTATTAAACGGCCAGCTTTGCTTTGCACCCTTAAGGTCGCAACCTCTTTCTTTAAAAAAAAAAACAACAACCAAGTCTGGTGAAGGGAAGGTCTCAACGGAGTCCTGGGACCCACCTGCTTCCTCATTCTTTACACTCGCATCGTTGGGCAACTTTCTTCTATGTCAAGTCAAAACTTCCTCATCCGATCCAGTAACACGGGACTCACCCTGACCGAAACAAGGTCTCCTCCCCATGTAACACAGGAGGTTAGGCTGCCTCACCCCCACCTCTTGCTGGAATACCCAATGGTGTGCTTTACCATGGTGATTAAGAGTTTTGTCGTTTGCAGACACCTCCTGCGATACAACATGTGTGTATTTTTATGGCCACTTTGGATAAAGTTACCACTGCAGCTGGTAACTGCGACGTCAAGATAAAACTCACCACATGAGAACTGAAGAAACAGCAAACTGAGGAGCAAGTAATTGTTCCTTCTCAGACTCCAGCATGGCTACGTGTGCTGACGCTTCGTTGCACAAACACAGACTAACAACTTTAAGTTGAACAGTTGTCTCTCAGTAGTTGTTATATTACCCGCGATTGTTTCTGCAAGAGCTTGCAGGCCCTACCGTTAACACACATCTTCCTGGGCGTGCTTTTGAATCCAATTAATAAAAGAAAACAATATATTTATGAGAAAGCCTCTTGGTATGTATTATTTCCAGAAACCCTGGAATCACCATTTGCTACCTTGCTGGTGTTTTTTACCCCTATTATGCTTAACATCAGCTTTTTAGAGGAGTGATGTGTCTGTGGCCACATTCTGAGTACTTAAACACTGCGATGTGTTGGAAAACAGAGTAGCAAAACAGGTCAGAACTGCATGCACTTTCTAAGTAGGTCAAGGTTTGGCCTGAGAATCTGGTATTTCTTAAAGATGCCCTTTACATTTCCTATATTTCTCTACTTCATCCTCCCTTCACACAGCCTGTGTGCTAGATTTATTTGTTTTACATTTCTTTGCTGTCCAATTTGCTGCCAAACCATCAGCTCATGTTGCTGTCTTATATAAATGTTAACATTAGCTAGCCTGACAATAACAGCCCAGAGAGGAAACATTTACTTCTGAGCTTCCCCCTGCCAGACAGACAGACAGCAAAGTTTTTTTTTGTGGCTACTTGTGGTTAAGGGCATGGGACGTAAAATTATAACGCTGTGTGCGCAAGTCGGTCTATTGCAGTTATGATCCCAGTAACACATACTTCAACATATTGTTTCACTTTTAAATCGGCACATTCATCGTGGAGGAGACGACTCCCCATTCCCTCACACAATGTAATCTCCACAGGTCCTTGAGACTCTGCCTGCCAGCAGGAAAAAAGAGAATCGCCAAAACTCCGTTGTTTTGGGTTTTTTTTTGTCATTGATGACATGTAATGAATGTATCGGTGTTACTTTCGTGTCCTGAAAGACACGGCACAGCGATGCAAACATATGCGGAGAGCTTGACAAGAAACAAACCCGTTGCGAGCCCCAGCTCGACAGCGTGAAAAACACCAGAGTTCAGGAAACCGGCCGTCCCTCTGCCCCCCGATCCCCCAGGGACAGGCGCCGCTGCACGTCCCCTCTCGCGCTCAACGTTGGGCCTTCGGTTCGCGCACCGCGGGGCCGCGACGAACCGTCTTCAACAAACCGCAGCAAACGGACGCTCTCTCAGTGACTTCCCACGACCCTCGCTCGGGTCTTCGGCCACTTCCACTGAACCCACACGAGAGGAATTAAGTTAAAACCGAAGCGGACGGCCTCCTCCAGCAGGCCCCACGCTCAGAAGCCAGCGGGACCTCAGCCGGCAGCCCAGGCCCGGGCCGGGGAGCGCAGGAGGCGGCAGTGCTGGCGCCCTCCACACCTGTCCCCGACCGAACTCTGCCGGTTCCCTCAGCGGTGCCAGCCGCGGAGCTGGGGGGGATGCTCCGCCACACACCGGTGCC